CCTTCGTAAAACGTACATTTTCAACAAAGTTCTCTTTTGGGCTTTCCGACGTTACAGGACGGCCCAAGAGGCGCCCAAGACCGCCCCAAGACGGCCCAAGAAGCTTCCAAGAGGGCCCCAGGACAGCCCAAGAGGGCCCCAAGACGGCCCAAGAGGCGCCCAAGATGGCCCAAGAGGGCCCCAAGACGGGCCCAAGAGGGGGCCCAGAGGGGGACCACGAACCGCAAGCTCGAGCCTTCCGCCCCAAGAGGCCGCCAGGAGGCCCCCAGGAGGCCCCTCAAGAGGCCCCAGGAGACCCCAGACGTCCAAGGACGCCCCCAAGACGCCCCAAGAAGCCTCCAACATGCGTCCCAAGAGGGCCCCTAGACGCAAAAATTGACCCATTCCCTTCGTAAAACGTACATTTTCAACAAAGTCGCCTTTTGGGCTTTCCGACGTTACAGGACGGCCCAAGAGGCGCCCAAGACCGCCCCAAGACGGCCCAAGAAGCTTCCAAGAGGGCCCCAGGACAGCCCAAGAGGGCCCCAAGACGGCCCAAGAGGCGCCCAAGATGGCCCAAGAGGGCCCCAAGACGGGCCCAAGAGGGGGCCCAGAGGGGGACCACGAACCGCAAGCTCGAGCCTTCCGCCCCAAGAGGCCGCCAGGAGGCCCCCAGGAGGCCCCTCAAGAGGCCCCAGGAGACCCCAGACGTCCAAGGACGCCCCCAAGACGCCCCAAGAAGCCTCCAACATGCGTCCCAAGAGGGCCCCTAGACGCAAACATTGACCAACTCCCTTCGTAAAACGTACATTTTCCACAAAGTCGCCTTTTGGGCTTTTCGTCGTTACAGGACGGCCCAAGAGGCGCCCAAAACCGCCCTAAGACGGCCCAAGAAGCTTCCAAGAGGGCCCCAGGACAGCCCAAGAGGGCCCCAAGACGGCCCAAGAGGCGCCCAAGATGGCCCAAGAGGGCCCCAAGACGGGCCCAAGAGGGGGCCCAGAGGGGGACCACGAACCGCAAGCTCGAGCCTTCCGCCCCAAGAGGCCGCCAGGAGGCCCCCAGGAGGCCCCTCAAGAGGCCCCAGGAGACCCCAGACGTCCAAGGACGCCCCCACGACGCTTCGCGTCACCAATTTCTTCTCACAACGATTCCTGGGTCTGTGACTCGACAGAACCTAAGCGCGCGCGAAGTGCGCGCGTGGTTTTAATATTCATATTCATATCCATATTCATGTTCATATCCATATTCATATTCATATTCATATTCATATTCATAGTTGTATTCATATTCGTATTCATATTCATATCCGTTTTCATATGCATACTCATATTCATATTCATATTTATATTCATATTCGTAGTCATATTCATATTCATGTTCATATTCATATGCCTATTCATACCCATACTCACATTCATATTCATATTCATCTGCATAGTCATTTTCCCATCCATATTCGTATTCACATTCACATTCACATTCATATTCGTATTCATATTCATAGTCATAGTCATATTCATATTCATTTTCGTTTTTTTACATTCATACTCATATTCGTATTCATATTCATATTCATGTTCATATTCATATTCATATTCATATTCATATTCATATTCATATTCATATTCATATTCAAATTCATATTCTTATTCATATTCATATTCATATTCATATTCATATTCATGTTCATATTCATATTCATGTTCATGTTCATATTCGCTTACATATTCGTATACATATTCATATGCGTATTCATATACATATTTATATTCTTATTCATATTCGTATTCAAATTCATATTCGTATTCGTATGCATCTATTCATTTTCATATTCATTTTCATATGCATATCCATATTCATATTCATATTTATATTCATAGTCCTATTCATATTCATATTCATGTTCGTAATCATATTCGTATTTATATTCATATTCATTTTCATATTCATATTCGTATTCATATTCATACTCATATTCATATTCATATTCATATTCATAGTCATATTCATATCCGTTTTCATATTCGTATTTGTATTCATATTCGTATTCATAGTCATAGTCATATTCAGATTCATATTCATATTCATGTTCATATTCATATTCGTATTCATATACATATTCATATTCATATTCATTTTCATGGTCATATTCATATTCATATTCATGTTCATATTCATTTTCATATTCATATTTACATTTATATTTGTATTTATATTTATATTCATATTCATGTCCATATTCATATTCGTGTGAGTGTGTATGTATATATATATATATATATATATATATGGGTGTGTGTGTATATATATATACATATACACATACACATACATACAAATATATTATATATATTATAATATATATATATATATATATATATATATATATATATATATTGCGCCGATCCGAAAGTTTCCCCAATTTCGCCACCGCGCTCGCCGCGCGCGCCGCGCCCGTGTGGCGCGCGCAGGATAAGACCCGCGGGGCCCGAGGGCGCATAGGGGCGATGTCGCGACGGCAGAGCTGGCGCGACGATGGGCAGCCCAACGCCCCGTTTGGCCGGAGGGGCCCAGTACAATGCAACGGCAGAGCCTAACCCCCGCCTGGGGGCGCGGCATCGGGTTCCCCTTCCCAATTCAAAATTTTACATGCCAATCTGTGTATTGACCCGAAAATGAGCAAACGGCATCGGTTCTACTGGAAAAACACTTTCGGGTTCGGTCATGCGACGACCCGGAAAGTTTACCGACCGACCTGAAAATGGCCAAAATGCCATAGGACTTGCGCCGGAAAAAAATGTCGGGTCCGTTCAGACGACCCGAAAATGCGCAAACCGCTTAGGACGCCTTGCAAAAACATCATTCGCGAGGTCTTCGGGCCCGCTCCAGAGAAACCGAGCGTGGGCAAACCGATTAAAACTTCCTATCAAAAACGGTTTTTTGGTGGTTCCGGGCCTCGTCCGAAGGAGCCGCCGATGGGCAGACCGTTCAGGACTTCCTGCGCAAGAAACGGTTTCCCGGGTGAACCGTTGTCAACGGGAACGCGCCCCGCGCGGGATCCAGTCTCGCACGGGGGCGCGGCTTCTCTCGCTTGTCCAGGGTGCATGAATTGCCGCGCCCTTCCAGCATAGCGTTTGCGCTGCATTCGCGCGGCGCCGCGCTTCCCAAATCGGAATAAATCTCGGAGCGCCGATGTATATTCAGGTGTATGTTTGTATGTACGCATGCATGTATGTATGTATGTGTGCATGCATGTATGTATGCGTGCACGTATGTATGTATGGCAGTATATATGTATGCAGGCGTGCATGTCTCTCTGCTTGCATGGATTTATGCACGCATGCATGTATGTTTGTATGTATGTATGTATGTATGTTTTTAAGCATGTAGGTATGCATGTATGGGTGTATGTACGTATGTATGTATGTATGTATGAGCGTTTGTATGCATGCATGCGTGTAATCATGCATTCATGTATGTATGTTTGTGTGCATGCATGCATGTATGCGTATATGCAAGGATACATGTATGCATGTCTGCGTGTATGCATATATGCGTGTGTGCATGCATATGTATGTATGCATGTATGTATGTACGTACGTACGTATGCATGCATGCATGCATGGATGGATGGATGCATGCATGTATGTATGTATGTATGTATGTATGTATTCATATACACATCTGACGGGGGACCATGGCTGGGCGCCCCCGGCCCGGAGCCTTGACTGGGTCGCCCCGCGAAATTCTCTAGGGAACCCACGATCGACTCTGAGGGCGATCGGACAGCCGCCACGGTGGTAGTTTTTTTATTCGTTGTTTTGCCGATCGGCGCGGGCCCCCAAAACCCCCCTCGCTCTCCCCCCGGGAGTAGATCTTGGCTGTTTTTGGCGCCTGTTTCGAGCGGGTGGAGTTTCCCCCTAATGGACGCACTGCTGCAAACAGTCGCACTAAGCAGAGGTCCGGAGCCAGACCCCCCCTCTCCCTCCCTTTTCGCCCAATGTCGAAACGCCGCATAAAAAACGCTCACAAGACGGTTGTCGTCGGCCCCGAGTCGTCCTAAGACGCCTCCCAGGCGTTTCAGGCGGCTCACCGGGCGCCTCCAGCGGTCCAGATCGCTTCCAAAACGCCCCGAGAGTGTTCCGGGAGGTCCTCCAAGACGGCTCTGGGAGGCGCGGCTGTCCCAGAGGGGAACGAGAGACGGACCCAGACAGCGAGGGCCCCAGATGGCACACGGGGGGTGCGCCTGAATTGGGATGCCCCCATCAGAGGCCGAGGAACTGTCCCTGGGGGGTGGGGCGCTGCTTTCTGGCCGTCTTGGGGCTCGTTCGGGTTCCTGTTGGGGTTCTCATGGGCCATCCGGGGGCCCATTTCGAGGCCCGCGGGGACCATGGGAAGCGAAAGCCTTCCCCGAAAGGGAAGAGGGGGGGCTGGGCGAGGCCTGCGGGGATGATGGGAAGCGAAGCCCTTCCCCGAAAGGGAAGAGGGGGGAGTGGACGGCGGAAGAAATGGCTTCCTGCAGACCACCTGCACCCAGGGAGCCACTGGGACTCAGGCCAGAGAGCGCGCCCGAGCGCCGCCCCCAGGGAATCGCGGAGTGAAAAAGGCAGGGCGTCCCAGGTCTGGGACGGCGGCGGGGAGCGGTTTGGGGAGGCTGCTGTCAGGTCGGGCCTGTCCTTCTACGGGAGGAATATTCAAAAATAGTCAAAGATAGTCTGTGGACGATTTCTGGATTATTTTCGGATTATTTTGGAGTAGTTTTTGAGTTTTTTTGTGTTTCCGTTTGTTTTTATATTCTTTGTTTTTTTCAATCCGCCTGTAGGGGGACATGCAAGACCCAAGTCTGGGACGGCGTCAGAGAGAGGTTTGGGGAGGCTATCGGCGGTTGTCGCGGGTCTTCAGGGAGGTTTGCCCAGGGATGTCCAGGGGCTTCGGGAGTTCTCCAGAAGTTTCCCAAGAGGTGATGCAGCGTGACGTGGAGCGCGGCTTGCTCCGTCCTCGGCTGGGCGTCGCGGGGCGCGATGTTCCGACCCGACCCCGTCCATCTCAGCCTCACGTGGGCGGCCTCCAGGCTGTGGAGGCCCGCCCGCCTGCCTGCCCTGCCCGCGCTGGCTTCTGCCAGCAGCGCGCGCTGCCTGCCCGTCGGCCTGGCGGGAGCAGAGCCCCCCCGGCCCCGAAGGTCATCGGCGTGGACGTGAGCCTGCCGGCCCTGCGCGGCCGGCCCGCGGGCCAGGGGCTTGGGCTGCAGCCGCCGCCCCGCCGCCGCCGTCAGCTCCTGAGGCGTGCCGACGCCGCCGCCGTCGCCGCCGCCGCCGCCGTCGCCGTCGCCGCCGCCATCTCAGTCGCCGTCGCCGTCGCCGTCGTCGTCTCCGCCGCCGCCGTCGCCGTCGTTGCCGCCGCCGCCGCCGCCGCCGTCGTCTCCGCCGCCGCCGTCGCCGTCGCCGTCGCCGTCGTTGCCGCCGTCGCCGCCGTCGCCGTCGTTGCCGTTGCCGTCGTCGTCGTCGTCGTCGTCGTCGTCGTCGTCGTCGTCGTCGTCGTCGTCGTCGTCGTCTCCAACTGGAGCACCAGAGCGCTAGATCAGCCTTGCCTGGTGGCTTTCGGTGTTTCTTCCCCCGCCCTCATGTTAGCGTTGGGTCCTCGATTTGGCTCCGCGGCGCCACGCTCCACCTCTCCTCTCCTCCTCCTCCTCCTCCTCCTCCTCCTCCTCCTCCTCCTCCTCCTCCTCCTCCTCCTCCTCCTCCTCTCCCCCTCCTCCTCCTCCTCCTCCTCCTCCTCCTCCTCCTCCTTCTCCCCCTCCTCCCCCTCCTCCTCCTCCTCCTCCTCCTCCTTTCTTTTCCTTTTCCGCCCTGTGGGAGCCCCGTCTGGGGCGCCCGCCCGGCCGGGCCGCTCGGCACGGGCTCTAAGAATAGCGGCCGGGCAGCCTAGCTATGCCCGGGCCGCGCGACGCCCCCTCCCCTCGGCCGGGGGCCTTCCGGCGGGCCCTCACCGCGGGGCGGAAAGAGGCCTGACCATGGGCCCCCGGGGAGAGGTTCCCCCGGCGGCCTCCCCCTGGCTGGGCTGGAGAGCCGCGCGGGAGGGGGGCCCCCCGGCAGCCCCGCGGTGAGCCGGGTGCTGCACGGGGGCAGCATTTGGGGGGGACCGAGCACGGGCGTCCCACGGGCATGGATGGCTTCCCAAACCCCCCGACGCCGCGGGGGGGGCGGGGAGCCGCGGCAGGGCAGCAGGCAGGGGCGACAGCGGAAGGGAGGGGGGGAGGCCAGGGAGGCCAGGGGAGGAGGAGGGGAGGAGGGGAGAGAAGAGGGAGGGGGGAGGGGCGGGCGAGGACGGGGAAGGGGGGGAGCGGACGGGGCAGGGGCCCCCCCAGAGGCACCGGCGCCTCCGGCCAGGCCACGACGACGACAAGCCGCGAGGCTGGCGAGGCGATTCTGGGTCCCATGGACGTCATGCTCAGCCCCCCCCAGATGGCCTACTGCGGCCCCAGCCAGCGCGCCACCTCCGCCGCCGCGGCCGCCAGGCTGCCGCGCTCGCCCAGCAGCCAGGCGCGGCGCTCTGGGGAGAGCGGCGCCGGTGCGCTGGTGCTGCCTGCGGCGCCAAGGGCCGCGGCCGCCTCGCTGCATTCCTCGGTGAGGTGCTGGCGGGTCTCCCGCGCCCGGCCGCAGAAGCGGCACGCGGGGACCTCCCCCGTGGCGCTGCATGCGGGGCCAGCCTGGAGCCGGAGGCGGGCCCGGGCCCGTGTCTGGGCAAGCGTGGCCCCGGACGCCGACACCTCGGCCGCGGTCGCGCACCGCCCGGCCGGACGCTGGAGGGCCTCCGCCTGCGGCCGGTCCTGGGCCCACTTGGCCTCCTGCGCCTGGGCGGCAGCCCGGAGCGCGCTGCGGAATCGGTCCAGCGCCACTGGCCCCGCGGGGGGGTCGGCGGGGGCAGGGCGCCCCAGCTCGCCGCCAGGTCGCGCAGGTGTGCCGACCAGGTGCCCTGCTCCTCCTGGGCCACGAGAAGCACTTGCCGAGCCGTCCCGTACCTGGGGTCGGTGTGGGCACGGGCGCGCAGGCGGATGGCACGCTCCCTGACGGTCGTCGCCAGCCGCGTTGGCCACGCCATGTGCCGCAGTAGCAGTGCGCGCGGGATGGGCCCCCGGACCGCCAACGCCTGCCTGCCTCCTCCTCCTCCTCCTCCTCCTCCTCTCCCTCCTCCTCCTCCTCCTCCTCCTCCTCCTCCTTCTCCTCCTCCTCCTCCCCCTACCTTTCCTCCCCCTCCCCCTCCTTCTCCTCCCCCTCATCTCCCTCCTCCTAATCCCCCATTCCTTCTCCTTGTACAGGATTTCTCCTTGTCACACTCCGAGGCCAGTTTTTTGGGTGGGCCAGGCGTTTCGCCTGAGACATCCTCCTTCTCACCCTGAAGCTTAAATTTTGGCAACGGTTTCGCAGATGGAGGGCGGGTCGTTTTCAAAATGTGTCTCTCGCCTCAGCGCCGCGCACATTCGTTCTAAACAATTGCAAGAGTTTCACGGATTGAGGGCGGCTTTTTTTCAACATGTGGCTCTCGCCGTAGCGCGCGCAGGTCGTTTTAAACATTGCAAAAGTTTCGCAGATTGAGTGCGGTTCCTTTTCAACATGTGGCTCTCGCCCTAGCGCCGCGCACATTAGTGTTTACATTTTGCAGAAAGTTTAACGGGTCCGCGGATTCCCATGATCAGCGTACCAGAATTTGTGTGTTGAAAGGTTTCAGGATTATGAGTGTGCAACAGTTACGTTGATTCGTGGTGTTGGAGTCCCAGGCATGGCGTCCTGGCAATATTCATAATCAGCAAGACGCAACGGTCAGGTTGATCCGTGGCGTTGGAATCCCGAGAATAATGTTTTGGCACGCTTCAGGGTCTTCAAGCGGTTGTCTTCCAACGAGGCAGTTCGTACAGTGGATATGAACCGTTGCAGGGGTCTGTGAATATTGAGCTTGGAGGGAGGGTTTAGTCCAACCTCGTTGATGCCTCTTGGGTTTGCACACTGGTCCTAATCCTCCTCCTCCTCCTCCCCCTCCTCCTCCTCCCCCTCCTCCTACTCCTCCTCCCCTTCTCCCTCCTCTTTTCGCTTGCTGCCCCTACCGCTGCCAGCCTGCCGCAGCATGCGTTACCACCACCCCTTTCGGCGCACCTCTCGAGCGGATTCGTGGCCCAACAGGGAGCTCCACCTGCTGCCCCACTCGGGGCGTTGACGTGCGTTGCCTTGCCCACTTCGGCACACCTCTCGCGCGCATCGTGGACCAGCAGGAAGCTCCATTCACGGCCCGCCTGTCTCGGCACTCCTCACGCGCATCGTGTCCCCACTTAGGGCTCCTCCCGCGATCCAGCGATGCGCCCCGTGCGTTCCCCCGCCCACTTCGGCCCGCTCCTCGCGCTGATCGTGCCCCCATGTGGAGCTCCTCCCGAAAAGGCACCGGAGAGGGCGCCTCAGGCCTCCCCACGCTCCTGCCTGCCAGCCCCTCACAGGGATTGCACCCCACAAGATGGGGCTCGACCTGTGGCACCAGTGAGGGCGCACGCGAGCGCCCCTCACGCCTGCTTCGGCACACCCCCCAACGCGGATCGTTCCCCATAGGGAGCCCCTCACTCCTCCTCCTCCTCCTCTTCCTCCTCCTCCTCCTCCTCCTCCTCCTCCTCCTCTTCCTCCTCCTCCTCCTCCTCCTCGTTTTCCTCCTCCTCCTCCTCCAAAAGCGTTCACATGCGTCCCCCTTGCCCCTTTTCGGCACGCTCCTCACGCGGAGCGGACCGGGGCCCACAGGGAGCTCCGCCTGGGACCCCAACGAGGGCGTACATGCGAGCCCCCGCCCCTCGCGGCACACTCCTCGCGCGGATCGTGGCCCACGGGGAGTGCAGCCTGCCTCTGCGTGCTTGCTCCGCAGCCCCCCATCCAATGCAGGTCCTGCGCGGCGAGCACTGCACGAGGAGGAGGCCTCACCCTTCGCAGCGCGCAGCGGCACGAGGTCTGGCCCATCGCTGGGACATCTTCAATTTTCTGCCCATCCTTCCTTCGTTGGGTACTCGTTTTGAACAGAGCGCTGCGGTCGCGACCTTCCTTCCTGCCCCTCTCCTCTTCTCTCATCCCTGCTGTCAGCCGCCGTCCCAGCTCAGCCTGCGGGAGCTGCTACCAGGTAGCGGCGAGCCCAAACAGGGGCAGCTTCCACACGCGTCGGCCCGATACCTTACGCCAGCACAACACAGCCAGAGCACGGCCGACCGTGACACATTCGTGACACGACAGACGACGACCAGTCAGAGGCAGAAGGTGTACGAGCCAGCCTGGCACAGGCGCAGACGCAGCGCCAGAACCCAGGCTAGAACACTGGTCAGAGTCGCAGCAGCAGAAGTCTTGCAGAATCATCACAGAACGATGCGTCATCATAGTTATGCGACCCACAGGACATCAGGGTGGTCCCGTAGATCTAAATTCTGGGACTGTTCGATTTGCAGCAGGTCAAACCCGCCAGCATCAGCCTCCTGCGGATTCTGTGAGGTTTCACCCGCCCAGAAGCAGATGAAAGCAGAGCACGAGGAGGACGCAGAAACACAGGAGGACCCGCGACCATGGAGAGAGGTGTCACGCCCGAGGCGATGGCACAGACCCAATCAACAACACTGGCAGCAGCAAGAGTGGTATTCTTCATCAGAGAACACACCTGCGAGATCCCAGGCGCCGATCTGGAACAAACGCAGCGACAAGAAAGTACCACTCATGATCGGTCCAGCAGGGCCACATGTTGCAGAATCTCATAGGCTGTGGGTACCAATACCGAAGACACTATTATAATTGCGCAAGCACCGCCTGTATTTGAAAAAGCTAGTGGATACGATCGAGAAGCAGTAAAGAGTAGGGTTTGATCTTGGTCACAAGGGAGCCAGACGTGCAGAAGTGGAGACCGACTTCGCAGTTACAATGTACCAGGTCATGTTTGCGAGGCCTCCAGATGAAATGATTACGCATCGAACTCAGTATGTCGAGAGATTGCTGAAGCGACTCAAAGATTTCGCCAAGACAGAGGATGATGCGAAGAACTATCTTCAGGAATGTCAATCGCAGACAACTCATGTCCGCCAGGATTTGGAGAAACCCATAGTGTAGCAAAGTAATTTTCATAGACTGGCAACAAGTCGACAGGTGGTCAAAGAGGAGCATATCAGTGTCGAGGAGGATGTTGATGAGGACGTGACAGGTGAGCCACAGGCACGCCCAGTCAAAAAGAGAGCAGCATACCCGAGCTCGCCAGCATCAGCGGCGCTTCCCATGAGCCCAGCAAGCCCAGCGGACTCAGCGCAGAACACAACGTTGCCAGCCACGCTCTCCGCGATGCTGGCGAACAACAACAACATGTCACGCAGCTCATGAAGTTGGCGGAGCAGATGGCTACAATGCAAATCACATTGGCGAGGGCTGGCATCATGCAGTCTCCGTAGCAGCAGCAGGAACCCCAGCCAGTCCGACCGCAACCGGCAGGGTAGCCAGCAGCATCGGACCCAACTACGGTGGCCTTGCCAGAGGATATGAGAGAGCCTGACGAGCCAATGCCACTGCATGACGAGATGGTTCCGTCGCCAGAAGGGCAAGGACAGCCAGCTACTGAACGCCGCCGAGAATGTAGCCAAGCCGTCCAAGCCATCCCTCCATAAGGTCCAGCAGCCTGTGCTCAAGCCGAAGGGCAAGGACGAGGAGAAAGCCGAGACCCGCTTCATGGAGGCCTTCGCAAGGGGGGGAATAACTTCGAGCATCAGGAGGATGACGACGACCTTCCCTCCCTCAGCTCCGACGGCAAACCGCTGCGCATGGAGGAGCAAGAGCAGCAAGTTTTCCGCTGGCGAATTCGAAACCTGCAGCGCCTGCTGCTCAAAGACCCCCAGCGGGCTCGCGCGCCGCAGGCGCATCCGCGCGAGGTCTTGCGTGCATTCCACTTCCAAAAGGTGACTCCACGATTCGTATCATTAGCGCGCCTTGGCCTGAAGGTCTTTGTGGTGATATTCTATCTTGTGCCCCTTCTTGGCGCTCAGCTACGTTTCGGGTCTAGCGGAATGGCAGCGCGAGTCGGTGCAGAAAAACCGACGGGGATCGGCATTTACACGGATGGATCAGCAGGGGGCTACAGGTACACAGCCAGTTCCGACTCTTTTCCCCCGTCCCGGGCCTTTTGTGTCATTGCCAGCAATGGCGAACGTGCGTGGTTTGAAAGGTTCCAAGCAGGGGCCCTGCCAGGCATCGGGGACATCATCTCCCCATCCTCTTTCTCCACTTGCGCCGAGCTAGAAGCAGCAATTTGGGCTGCCAAGTGGTTGATTGCAGAGCCTATCTTGCACGAGTGTGAGGTTGTTTTCCAGGGCGACAATGCAGAAGTGGTGCGAGTGGCGCAGCTTGGGGGGGGCGTCGGGGGCCTTCGAGGAACCCAGGGCCATCTTGGACGCACTGGCGCAGATACTTGTGCGCACGCTGCGCGTGGCACTTGCGTGGGCACAAGCAGCCGCAGGCCTTTGCCCTGCGCGCTCGTGGCCTTTCCAAGGTGCCTCTTGGGGGCCGTTTGGGGGGCCGCTTGGGGGGCCTCATGGAGCTTCTGCTTGGGCCTCTAGGGCGAAGGGTCCTAACGGACAGGGGAGCGCTCATCTCTCGATTTTTACCGTGCTTTCCTTGTGCAGACGATTTATTCACTCGCTTCGCTCAATCCGCCGGCCCGTACTGTGCCATCGCAGGCCTTTGCTCTTCGTGCTCGTGGCCTTTCCAGGGGCCTCTTGGAGGGCCGTTTGGGGGCCGCTTTGGGGGCCTTCTTGGGGCCTCGTTTTGGACTTGCGGGCGAAGGGCCCTAACGGACAGGGGAGCGCTCACCTCTCGGTTTTTACCGTGCTTTTCTTGTGCAGATGAGTTATTTTAGAACCGTTCGGCGGCGAGGCCCTCCAAGAGCGCGGCGCAGCCGTCGCGGGGCCCCCGATCTCCGCGAGGACGCCCGTTGCAGCAGTGAAGATGATCTCGTGTGAGGCCCGAGTGGAACTGCGGGGGCTTTCCGGAATCTGCCACAACACAACAGAAGCCTGAGCTGATATCAGTCAGCAAGTGGGCAGTGAGGATGTCTCAGGCGAAACTATTGTGTCTGCGCCCGGTGCATCCAGAGGGGCACAGCCAATTGAACAGAAACCGCGGAAACTACCAGAAACCGACAGGCGCCCGCCCGTTTATAAGGAAGGTCCCAAGCGAACGCTGCATCTTGGGGCGTACCCTGGGATCAACTTTTCCATTCACTTAAATCGGCGGCGAGCCCGGGTGGAAGTGAGAAGGGGTGGGCCTGCTCACAAGGCTCGGAAGTCACCCGACTTCTGGGAAATTTCCGGAGCTGGGCACAGGAAGCTTCCCGGAAGGCGCGAGGATTTCTGAGAAGTCCCGCCGCCTTCTGAGAAGGCCTTCTCCTTCTCACTTCCCTCCTCTCGCTCGCCGCCGATTTTGGTTTTTGGGTCTTATCTCGGGTCTCTGGCGGCCTTTCGGGACGATCCAGGCACCCCCGAAACGCTCTCGGCGAGGCGCAGCCGCTGGAACGCATCCCAAGGCTGGAACACCGCCGAGAACCGACGAAGACGTCCGAAAATCTTGAACCTCGAGCCCGAAACCTCTCCCCGCTCGCTCGCTCGCCGCCGATTTTTTTAGTTTCATGTTTTTTTTTTTTTTTTTTTTTTTTGTTGTGTGTGTGTGTTGTGTGTGTGTGGTGTGTGTGTGTGTGTGTTTGTGTGGGTTTTTTTGGTCAGAAGTCTTGGGTTCGAGGTTCGAGATTCTCGGACGTCTTCGGCGGTTCTCGGCGGTTTTCCAGCCTCGGCACGCGCTCCAGCGGCTGCGCCTCGCCGAGAGCGTCTCGGGGCTGCCTGGGTCGTCCCGAACGGCCGCCGGAGACCCGAGATCTGACTCAAAAAACAAAAGATCGGCGGCGAGCCAGCGAGTGGGGAGAAGTCTTGGGTTCGAGGTTCGAGATTCTCGGACGTCTTCGGCGGTTCTCGGCGGTTTTCCAGCCTCGGCACGCGCTCCAGCGGCTGCGCCTCGCCGAGAGCGTCTCGGGGCTGCCTGGGTCGTCCCGAACGGCCGCCGGAGACCCGAGATCTGACTCAAAAAACAAAAGATCGGCGGCGAGCCAGCGAGTGGGGAGACCCGAGATTCTGACTCAAAAAACAAACCCGAGATCTGACTCAAAAAACAAAAGCGGCGAGCGAGCGAGTGGGGAGAAATCTTGGGTTCGAGGTTCGAGATTCTCGGACGTCGGTTTCGGCGGTTCTCGGCTGTTTTCCAGCCTCGGCACGCGCTCCAGCGGCTGCGCCTCGCCGAGAGCGTCTCGGGGCTGCCTGGGTCGTCCCGAACGGCCGCCGGAGACCCGAGATCTGACTCAAAAAACAAAAGATCGGCGGCGAGCGAGCGAGTGAGAAGTGTCGGGTTCGAGGTTCAAGATTTTCGGACATTTTCGTCGGTTCTCGGCGGTTTTCCAGCCTCGGCATGCGTTCCAGCGGCTGCGCCTCGCCGAGGGCGTCTCGGGGGTGCCTGGAGCGTCCCGAGTGGCCGCCAGAGACCCGAGACAAGACCCCAATACCAAAATCGGCGGCGAGCGATCGAGACGGAGAAGGCCCTCTCAGAAGGCGGCCGGACTTCTCCTCAGAAGCCCTTGCAACTTCCGGGAAGTTTTCTGTGTCCTCGGGAGAGGCTGCGAGAACTCCTCCGAAGGCCGTGGGACTTCGAGTCTTCTGAGAAGGTGCGGGACGGGAAAATGACCACAGCCACTGCTTCTTGTTTGCGCCGCCTTCCAGCCGGCCGAAAAAAAAGCAGTGGCTGTGGTCATTTCCCTGGTGCCAGCCTTAACGACAATGACCACAACCACTGCTCTGTTTCTGCTGGCTGGAAGGCGGCAACAAAAGAAAAGCAGTGGCCGCGGTCGTTTTCACGCCCCGTAGGAGGCCTTCTCATCCTCACTTCTCCTCCGGGCTCGCCGCCGATCTGTGGCCGTCGTCATCGCTGCCACCGGCCCATCGCCAGCATCGTCAGCGCCGCCCCACACTGCTGACGCCTTCCTTCTCCTTGTCGCCGCCATGATTCAGGAGGGGAAACAACACACAGACACAATTAATCGTCGATCCCCAGAAAATATGGGAAAATATGGGAAGTGGGGGGGAAGACAGAAATCCAGAACATATGGGAAAGTATGGCGGATATCTTTATTTGTGTGTCTTTATTTGTGTGTCCCAGGGCCCCTTCAATGATCGCCATCTCGCCGTGGTCAGCGCCGCGGTCGTCGTCGTTGTCGTCGTCGTCGTCGAACATGCCCGAGACAAGGGCTTGCTTGTGGGCCAGACCCACAAGTGTCGCGCACCCTCCCGTCGTTCGTGGATCTGGCGCAGGACCACGCGAAAGTCGACAGTGCAAACGTTCCCCTAGGAGGAGGAGGAGGAGGAGGAGGAGGAGGAGGAGAGGAGGAGGAGGAGGAGGAGGAGGAGGAGGAGGAGAGGAGCGGAGGAGGAGGAGGAGGAGGAGGGAGGAGGAAGGAGGAGAGAGAGGAGGGAGGAGGAGGAGGAGGAGGAGGAGGAGGAGGGAGGGAGGAGGACAGGAGGAGGAGGAGGATCCGAAAGGGCTTGCCCCGATGCCCCGAAGGCGCACGACACGTGTGCCTGCCCGCTCCCCCGCTTACAGTGGAAACCCGTGCCGATAAACACCCTGCTTGCCTCCAGCGCGCCCTGGGTTTCTTGGGCTTCGATGGTTTTGCTGTGGAGGGCGTGGCGTTCCCACGCCAAGACTGAATGAGCGCCCTGGGGTCTCAGGGTTGGGCTTCCTGTGGAGGGCTTCATGTGGTCGATTTCCCGTCGCACCTGCGGAAAATCCGCCGAGTGCCCCGTAGCTCTGCGGAGCATCCTGCGCACTTCTAGCAGAGTCGAGGGGGGAAGCAAGTCTAGGGTTCAATCAATTCTGTAGTCCATTCCCTACTCGATGACAGTTAACCCGCACTGTAAGGATGGGCAGCCTTCCCAAGGGTGCCCTTGCATCATTCTTGGCTCCTCGGTCCATCCTTGGCCACTTTCGCTGGCCGCGCCCGGCTCGAAAAGCTTCGAGATGGACGTCGGAGGTCCTGGCATCCTTGTCGCGCATCCTTCTGACGCGGGCCGACCGCATGGCCTCCCCGTGAAGCAACGCCTGCAGGCCTCAAGACTCTGAGGGGGTCGGCGGAGCCCGGTGCACTCAGGCCCCACGGCGCTGGTCGCGGCCGACGCGGCGGCGCTGCCTTTCCGGAGCGGCACGTTCGACGCCGTGGTCGACAAGGAGTCACCTTCACCAGTGGTCGGCCCGGCAGTTCCCAGTTTTCGAGTGGGGAAGCGACGGCACAATCGCTGTACCCCAGCCTTGAGTTGCTCCTCGGTCGAATCTACCAAAAAACGCGTATGCAATGTTCGTAGACCTACGAGCATGATTCCTATTTTTGGGATACCTGTGTCGAGAACGTCAATTCTGGGGGAAAGCACTTCTGTAAGCGATGCACCGAGAATTCGGTGATGACATACCATTCGAAGAAGAAAACACTTACTAAACATACAGTTTCGGAGTTCCGCGTGTTTGGGTATGGTTTGGGAAAAAACGAATCTGCGCTGAACCCCCTCCGCGCGCCAGGGATGGCGCCGGTTGGGTTGGTACCACGACGGACGTTCGGGGCAGTTCCTGGATATGTGGACGACCAACGGTCGAATGTGATTTCTTACCCGTTTTTTTCGGACTTACTCGAGCTTCCCTGTCTCGCCAGTATCAAATTTCTCTGAATGTTCATATCGAATATGCCTATGGCGAACCACCGTCGAACCCTGCCTTTTGGAAGCGCCGGTGTGGCCAAACGTTGGGACAAAGTCTGAGGAACATTTGTGGGATGGAGACACAGGAGAAGGAGAAGGAGGAGGAGAAGGAGGCGGAGGAGGAGGAGGAAGCTGAGACGGACGAGAAGAAGGACGAGAAGAAGGCTTCTTGAGGCCCTCTTGGGGGCTTCGTGGGTATTGGGGACCGCTTGGGGGCTTTTGGGGGCCCCTTGAAGGCGTCTTGGGCCATTGTAGGGCACACTTGGCTCGTCGACGCCCGTGGAGGCCAACTTGGTGGCCTCCCTGGGCCGTCTTGGTAGCCTGGGGCGCCGTGGGCCGTCTTGGAGGGATTTTGGGCCGTCTGGGGGCCTTCTTGAGGTCGTCTTGGATAGTCTTGGGCCTTCTTGGAGGCCATTTTCGACCAACTTGGCCATCCTGGAGGCGTGCTTTCATGATTTTCTTGTTTTTCCATGTCGCCAGCGGGTTGAGCCAGATACCTCAGGGAACCTTTCGGAAGGGCTCAACGGGCTAGTCTAAAATTCGGTACGCCGTCCACCCCTCTACAACCAGAAGGATGCGGCGGATCGAAGACGCCGACGGGGAACAATCGCCGCCCCCTGCATTTTGGAAGCGCCCACGTGGCCGAAGGTTGCGGCCAGAGCTCGGCCAAGCTATTGGACTAGGTATTCCCCAGGCCTCGTGAAAACCTTTTGGGGAACACGTGCATGAGGAAGAAGAAGAAGAAGAAGAAGAGGAGGAGAGGGAGGACAGATCAAGAGGAGGAGGAGGAGGAGGAGGAGGAGGAGGAGGCGGCGGCGGAGCAGGCGGAGGAGGAGGAGGAGGAGAAGGATGATGATGATGATGATGATGATGATGAGGAGGAGGAGGAGGAGGAGGAGGAGGAGGCGTAGTCGGAGGAGAGCGTTCCTGGTCCGTCTGACGTCATCGGAAGCCGTTTTGGGGGCCTCGGCCTTCTTGGGGCGCTTCAGGGCCGTCTTTGGTGCCCTCTTGGGGTCGTCTTGGGGGCCTCTTGGGCCCATCTTTGGCGTCTTGAAGGCCTCTTGGGTCGCCTTTGGGCGCTCCTGGGGCCGTCTTAAGGGCCGCTTGGATCGTCCTGCGGCCATCTGATAGGTCTCTTGGACGTTCTTGGGGCGATCTTTGTGGTCTCTTGGCCGTCGGAAGATCCAAACGGAAAAACGCACCCATTCAATCACCTGAGCACAAGCAGTGATTTTGGCCATCTTGGAGGACTCTTGTAGCCTGCTTGGGCCGTCTTGGGCCATCTCGAGGCCATCTTAGGTCGTCTTGGGTGAATTTTGTGTTGTTTTGGAACATCAGTCGGCCATCTTGGGCTCTTCCGGGGCTTTCTTGGCCTTTTCGGAGGCGTCTTGGGACCTTCTTGGAGAGTATCTTGGCGCCATCATTGCCGTCTTGGAGCGGATGAGGTCATTGGATGCCGACATTTGAGGAGCTTTGCAGAACGCCGGTGGGCCAGGCCGAATCCCCAGTGGGGGTTCTGAAAGAACCCAGGACAGCCAAACATTCAGCACGCCGTGCACCCCTGGTGATCGTTTTCTTGTTCATTGTTTTGCTGATCGGCGCGGGCCCTCGCACCCCCTCTCCTACCCCCCCAATGGAGTAGATCTTGGCTGTCTTTGGCGCCTGTTTCAAGCAGGTGGCGTCTCCCCCACAGGACGCACATGTTGCAGACAGTCGCATTCAGCTGAGGTCCAGAGCTACACCTCCCCCATCCAGGAGGAGGAGGAGGAGGAGGAGGAGGAGGAGGAGGAGGAGGAGGAGGAGGAGGAGGAGGAGGAGGGTCCCCCCCTCCGACCGATGTCAAATCGCCGGCTAAGAGAACATTCCCCTTCTGCAAGCCAACAGGTGGCGGCAGATTCAGCGGGCCCGGGGCCTCCCGCCGCCGCGCCTGGCCTCTGTAGACAAGAAGTCTTTTGGGAGCTTCCTTGGGGTCCTTCCGGGAGGCCCATCGGGTGCCTCCTGGCAGTATCGTTTACATAACCGATCCCCATCCCCATCCCAATCCCCATCCCAAGCCCCACCATCTCACCGCTCCAGTTGGGGAAATACCCCTTGAAACCCGAGGGGAGCAGCCTGTATCCCATCCAGGGGGGCAAATCGGCCAGTGGGTCCCAGGCCACACCTGTGGGATAAGGATCGGTTAGATGATGCTCATCCTGGGTCATTTCTTGGGCCTCCTGGGGGGTCCCTTTGGGGTCTTGGGTCTCTGGGGCATGCTGGCGAACTCGGGGGCCGTCTTTTGGAGAAGGGCTCGAAGTGTCAGCTTCGGGCTCCTCCTTGGGTCCTTCTCTGGTGCCTCCTGGACCGTCTTGGGGGCCTCTTGATCCGTCCTGGGGCGATCTTGGGTTTTCTAGGACCGCCTTGTAGCGATGGAAGTCCGAATGCGCGAGAGTGCTAAAACCAATCAAGCACTTCTTGGGGCCTTCTTTCGGGGCTCTCTTGGAGTCCTGTTTGGAGCATTGCAGGGGCTTGTTGGTCTCGGTGCAGACCCAAGACGCGGTGGACTGATGTTATGCACCGGTTTTATTGTCCAGAGGGTCTTCTTTGCACGAAGCCTTGCTGCAAGGGAAGAGTTTTTTCGTGGATCACTGTCGAGCATGGGTGGTTGCTTTCTTTTGGCCGAACAGCCACGCGTGATGTATGATCATGTTTGAGGGGTGTGTTTATCGTGCGCGTGCACTGATGTCTGTGTGTCTGCCGTATTTTGTGTTGCGAGCCGCTCCCCGCGCTGTTCGGTCGGACGTTTTGGCGGCGCGCGGAGGGGGGCGAGGCGACGGGGACACCCTCCCCGCCTTCAAGAAAGTTCCTGTGAAAGGGAGCTTTGGTGGTCGTCCTCGTCGTGGTGGCTACCGTTTCACATGCATTTGCTTACGTTTCACATGATTTGCTTAAGTTTCACATCACTTGCTTACAGTGCCATTTTTAATACATGCTCCGCGTGCGGATCATGTATAAAAATGCAGGGTTTTAGTATTGAAAACAACGATGAGTTCATGCATACATTTATTCATAAGTTAATCATGTATTCAAAAACCCATATTTTTAAGAATCCTATGTATTAAAACTGCCCTGTATGGGCACTGGGAAGCTCCCTCGCGGAGCGCGCACGACTCCGTCGTGCGTTCGTGTTCGTTCTCGCCGTGGTGGTGGTCGTCGCACTCCTCGTCGCTCCGCGGCGCCGGGGTCGAGGGCACCTTGGACTGGCTGGCCCTGTCCCTCCTCGTCAGCGACGATCGCGATGACCGCCTCGGGGGCCTGCGGAAGGATTGCCCGCCGCCCCTCCCCCCCCCCGTCCCCCCCAAGCAGAGCAGGAGGCGGGGGAGGAGGCGGAGGAGGGGGGAGGAGGGAGAGGAGGTGTAGAAGGATGCCGAGGATCCGCTGGCTCCGCGAGCCCGGCGATGCCCGGGGGGGGGTCTCCTAAAAGCGCGTGGGGCCAATTCTCTGCCTCCCGGACGGGGCGACGGCGGCGACCGCGACCGTGGCGATCACGGCGGCGGCGGCGGCGGCGATGGCCGCGACTGCCTCGGCGGCGGCCGCAGCGGCGGCGGCCACGGCGAAGACGGCGCCGCGAGTGCCTTGGCGGGTGTTGATGGCCAGCGGCGGCGGCGGCGCCTGTTGCCGGCGGCGGCTTCGGCGGTGGCGACGGCGGCGGCGGCCACGACGACCCCATATATCCGTCGTCGTTTTCTGTTTTTTGTTTATAACGCGTAGCACCCCGCAGTTGCGGATAAGAGGGAGGGGGCGACGGGTTCGTCGGCAGTCGGCGAGGTTTGAAGAAGCCCGCTGCAGGCGCTGATCAATTATGTAACGAGCCCGCCGCAGGCGCCGTGTTTTCGTCAAAGCAATGTGGGTGGGTTGCGGGTGGGTCGCGGGCGGGTCGCGGATGGGTCGAGGGGTGGGTCGCGGGTTGGGCCGCGGGGTGGTTCGCGGGGTGGATCGCGGGCGGGTCGCGGGCGAGGACGATGGCAACAACAACGCAACACCGCAACAACAACGCAACAACGCAACAACAATCAGCACCGCGGAACGCCAGTTCAGCCACCCGCCCAGGGATAATGAATGACCGTTCGCCCCTCTCATGCTGACATCTGCAGTAGTATATCAACATATATTTTCTATGCGTATGATGTGGATATATGATATATGATGCATGCTGTATGATCTATGATGTATGGTCTCTCTTTAGATATGTATAAGAACGGCCCCAGTGCTCCCGATTTATTCTGTGGCTGTAGTTTTTCGTCTCAGAACAAGTTCTGATGGCCCGAGACACCCCAGTGGGCTTCAGAGGCCGAAATTATTGAGGAGAAACGCCTCGATGGACAAAATTATATCGTCGGAGATTTGGGACGGCGGCGGCCATGGCGACGGCCACGTTGGCCCAGCGCTCGTAAGCGGTTGCTGGCTGTCCCCCCGCTTTCCCCTCGTCACCGTCGTCGTCCTCCTCCTCCTCCTTCTCCTTGTCCCCCTCCCTCCTCCTCCGCCTTCTCCTCTCTGCATCGCGTCGTGCCCTGGCACCGCGAAGGTGCCCAGGACGGGCCAACAGTGGCGTGCTTCTCCTTCGGTCTGGGTCAGGGACTGCGTCCCGCAGGCAGGAGGGGGGGGAGATCCGTTGTCCTGGCCGTCTCGTGGCCTACACGCCAGACGCGCAGGGCAAGACTGGTACGATGTTTGGTGCCTGTGCACTGGCTTTCCTGTGCTAGGGCCTTGGCCAGAGTGGAGCGACCGAGACACATGATCGGCTTCGGCCGCGGCGAGGGCGGCGCCGCACCGCAGAGGAGCTCTGGCGCGTCCTGCGGCCCGGCGGCCGGCTCGTGGTCCTCACCGGGCTGGGCGGCACCAGCGAGGACCCGCTGCGCTTCCTCCGCGCGCCGCCCGCGGAAGGCGCCGCGGCCGGGCGTGGAGAAGAGCAGGGGGCCAGGAGAGGAGGAGGACGAGGACGAGGACGAGGACGAGGAGGAGGACGAGGATGAGGAGGAGGAGAGGAGGAGGAGGAGGAGGAGGAGGAGGAGGAGGAGGAAGGAGGAGGAGGAGGAGGAGGAGGAGGAGAGGAGGAGGAGGAGAGGAGGAGGAGGAAGGAGGAGGAGGGAGGAGGAAGGAGGAGGATTTTTGAGGAGGAGAGGGGAGGAGGAGGAGGGAGGAGGAGGAGGAGGAATCAGGAGGATGAGGAGGAGAGGAGGGAGGAGGAGGAGGAGGAGGAGGAGGAGGAGGAGGGGGAGGAGAGGAGGAGGAGGAGGAGGGAGGAGGAGGAAGGAGGAGGAGAGGAGGGGAGGAGGAGGAGGAGGCGGAGGAGGAGGAGGAGGCGGAGGAGCGCGGATAGAGAAACAATTGGCGCGATGGGAACGGACGGGTGGGAGGGGTAAGCTGTCACATCTGGCGTGACCGCACCTGTTTTGCCTGCGCCCCCTCGCCCTTTCTCCCTTCCCCCCCCGTGGGTGGGGGGAAGGCGGGAGAAGGGTGGTAAGTAAGTGCGAGGGGGGGAGGAGGGGGGACGACGGGGGGAGGAGGGGGAGGGGGGAAGAGGGCGGGGGGAGGAGGAGGGGGGAGGAGGGGGGGGGCGGTAAGTGGGAGGGGGGAGGAGGGGGAAGGGCGCAGGGAGGCGGCGGCCCTTCGTCTTCGCTGCCGCCCCCTCGCGCTCGCCCCCGGGCTCGTGCCGCACCGCCCTCTCCCTCTCCCGCCGCCGCCATGTGCCGACCCCCCCCCCCCTCCCCCAGAACTGCGACGTCGTGACTTTTTCAGTACGGGGTCCCCGGAAGTCCCGACCCTGCTCATCCCCATCCCCATCCTCATCCTTCTCCCGCATCCCTCCCCAGTCCCATCTCCATCCGCATCCCACACCGCTCGTTCCCAGACATGCGACATCCGGATGTTTTCAATACAGGGTCCCCGGAAGTCCCGACCCCTTCCTTGGGATCGGTTTTTCCTCCCCAGTCGTTCTTGGACTGTCCCGAGGCCCGGCGAGGAGGGCCCCCCCGAGGCCGAAGTTTTGTCCAGCAAGAACCCCCCGTTCTGCTCGTCTTTGTCACGGCGCGATCACGTCTATGTCTGAGCCCCTTCCCCGCGCTCTCGAAGGTGCCGGCGGGTGGTCGGCCATCAAGAGCCGGAAGTTCGGGGGCGGCATGGGCGGGAACTACCGCTGCCATCGGCTGGTCCGCGCCTGACCCCGGCCCCGGGCGGCCGGCGCCGCCCCCCGTGCGGAGCGGAGCGGGGCACAAAGAGGAGCCCCGGTGTGCGGCGGGCCCTTCGCCGCCCTTCCCCGCGCCGCCTCCTTTCCCTTCGTTCGTCCGTCGTCCGTCGCTCGTCTGTGGTGTCGTGGCACTGGGCTCCGTCGCGTCGGCGCGGCGGCGGCCTCGGCGCAGGCGTCTTCGGCAGCAAGGCATGGGAGCCTGGTGTGCCCTCACAATGCCGTCGTTCGCGCCGATCCGCGCCGATTCGCAGCTGGGCGTCGGCGAGATGGCGCCGATTTTTGCGTCGGTCTGCGTCGGCCCGCGCCGACTGGGCGTCCATTGGCGTCGACGACGAGCGTCGACTGGCGTCGACTCGCAGCAGCCGACCAGATGGTGTGGGAGGCTCCCGCGAGCTGCCACCGCAGGAGCCCGAGGCGGACGGCCGCCCCGGGGTGGCCCAGCCTCGGCCGACGACGTCGCGCGCGGCCCCGCGCCGCCGGCAGGCCAGGAGATCTCGCGCTCGAGGCCGCGCGGTGTCCGCGCGGTTTGTCGGAGGCCGCCGTGCAGGCCGTCAGGGCACACAGCCCGCCGGTGGGGGGAGACGCCGGCTCCGGGCAGCCGGCGTCTGCGGCTCCCCCAAAACTCTGGGCCCCCTCGGCGGTCCAGGCGGCCGGTGGGGCCCCCGGAGTCGGGGCGGAGGAGAGAGGTCACCAGCCTCGAACTGATCCCTATCCCTAAGATTGACACGCTAAAAGGAGAGCAATCTTAGGGATGCACCCTCAGAAACTGAGTAAATCCCTAAGATCGCCATCGTGATGAGGAGATGCCCAACATAGGGATAGGGATATGATCCAGGCTGGTAAAGAGGGGGATTGGGAAAGGGGGGATTACGAAATGTGCTGGATTCAGCTGGTCTCGGCCTCCCCGATGGGGCCCATTCACGGCGCGAGTCTGGGGCCACATCCTTGCGCGGATCCCGGGATCCCGGGGCCAGCTGCGCTGTGTGTGGCGTGGCACCAGGAGGGCAGCTGTGCACCGACGCTGGACCCGGGCCCGTGCCAGCGGGGGGGCCTGCCTCTGTCAGTGGGCAGCCGGCGTTCCCCGATCCACTGCCAGTCGCAGGGGGGACCAGTTGGGCATCGTTCCTTCCCCTCGTCCTTCTCCTCCTTGTCCTCCAGGTCGTCGTCGTCCTCCTCCTCCTCCTCCTCCTCCTCCTCCTCCTCCTCTCATCATCCTGGGTCAGGAGGCTGCCTGGCTGCATCGGAGAGGCGCCCTGTCCGTGGCAGCCGGGCGGAGGAGGAGGGGGAGCGAGGAGGGACGAGGAGGAGAGGGGGGGCCGTGGGAGCAAGCGAGAGGAGGAGGGATGACGAGGAGAGGAGGAGGGATGAGGACGAGAGAGGAGAGAGGGATGAGGAGGAGAGAGAGGAGGGATGAGGAGGAGAGAGGGATGAGGAGGAGAGAGGGATGAGGAGGAGAAAGGGGGGTGAGGGGAAGGAGGCAAGCGGGGCCGGGGGACACTGAGAACGACGTGCAACCTGCCAGCAGGAACCGATGCCCATCCCCTCCTGATCTTCCCCTTTTTCAACATCCCCCTTCTCCCTCCTCGTCGCGCCTCCCCCCCTCCTCCCCCCTCCCTGCTCGTTGTTGCCGTCGTCGTCGTCGCCGTCCTCCTCCCCGCCCTCCCCCCTTCTCTCTCCTCCTCCCATCTGCCCCCCACCTCTCCCTCTCCTACCTCCTCCCTCCTTTCCTCCTGCTCGTGCTCCTCGTCCTCGTCGTCGTAGTCCATCCCTGTTTCTCCCGCCTTCCCTCAGAGTTGGATTTGGCCATTCGACCCCTCTCCTAGCAGAGCTTTCCTCAATAGGCATTTCTCATTTCTCATGTTCGCCGTTGTGGACCTCAATCAGTGTGTTTGTGCACAGTTTGTGTGACAACGATGTGGTGGCAACAAAGTTGTGTAGGCTACGTGGCAGAAACATTGTGTCAGAATCTATCTAATGGCCTTCGGCCCATCCCTCCACCGCGCCTGGGTTGTGGGTATGAAGCCTACTGGAAGTTTGTTGGGATCTCGTGGGAGGCCTCTCGGGGGCCTCTTGGAGGCAGTTTGGAGGCCTCTTGGGGGCTTTTGGGGGCCTCTTGGTTTCTTTTTGGGCCTCTTGGGGGGCTCCTGTGGGCCTCTTGCGGGCCTCTTGGGGCCTCCCAGGCGCCTCTTGGGTTTCCTCTCTTGGGTCCCTTTTCGGGTCATCTTGGGGCCCTCTTGGGTCGTCTTGGGCGCCTCTTGGGCCGTCTTGGGGCGCTCTTGGGCCGTCCTGGGGCCCCCTTGGAGGCCCCTTTTGGCAGTTTTGGGGTGGTCTTGGGGGCCTCTTGGGCCGTCTTGGAGCGTCGGAAAGCCGAAGAGGCGAGAACGCCAACATCCTTCAAACATTTTAGGACGATCAGCGATTTTAACCTCCTAGGGCCCTAGCCCTCTCTGGAGGTCTCTTGGAGGCCTCCTGGGGCGTCTTGGAGGCCTCGTGGGGGCCACCTTTTGGGCCATGTTGGGCGTCTTGGGAAGATCTCTCGGCGACTCGGGGCCCTCTTGGACCGTCTTGGGGGCCCGGTTCTTGGCCCGTCTTCGGGCCCTCCTGGGCCGGAAAAACTCACGCGACGGCACCTTCCACAGCCCAGGGGGGCACGCGGAAAGCCCCAGGAGATTCGGAGTGTGCCCAGTGCGGATCCATGAAATCCGCGCGGAGCGCCAAAAAAATATGTATATGCCGTTTCTTCTTCTGATTCAGTTTCTCAGGAAACTGAATCGATACCCTTGTATCAAGCGTTGTCCGTGGAAGGGAGGGTTTCCCAGAAGAGCCCTTCAAGACTTTCTTCTCAGAGAGCTCTTCCTTAGTAAGGGCTTCATTTCCGCATTACGGTTTTGTTCGGGAGTTTTGTGAGGTCAGCGGCTTCTTGGATGCCCGCGGAGATCTCTTGGGAGGCCTCTCGGAAGGGCCTATTGGGGGCCTCTTGAGGCCTCTTCTGGGCCTCTTGGGGGCCTCCGTCTGTGGTTCCAGGCAGGCTGTGCTGTCCGGCAGAGGGGGAAGAGGGGAGAAGCAGGCTGACGGCGACAATCTTGGGGGCCTTTTGGCGATCCCATGGGCTTCTTGGAGGAGCGTCTTGGGCCCCCTGGGAGAGCCTTCTGGGGCCTCCTGGGGTTCCTTTGGAGTCGCTTGGGGGCCTCTTGAGGGCCTCTTGGGGCCTCCCGGGCGCCTCTTGGGGCCCTCATGGGGCACTCTTGGGAGCGTTGGAGGCTATCTTGGGGCCATTTCGGAGGAGATCGATCAAATAAGGATTCCAACAGGGCACTTCCCTCAGTGACAATGCATCCTTGTAGGGGCCTGTGTAGAGGGAACTTGGAGGGAGAGTTTATTGCGATGTCGCGGATGGGTCTTGGACTTTCACTGGTCCTCCTCCTCTTCCTCCTCCTCCTCCTCCTCATTCGTTCGTTCGCAGCTTTAGGGCAGATATTGGAAGCCCGATCACTGAGGGTGGACGGCAAGAAGAGGCGGATGGGGGGACAAGCGAGCGGCGGAGTCAGCAGAGCCAGCAGCCAGCAACTACGAATAGTTGAACTCATGGTGGGCAGGGTACCGCCCTGTCGCCGCCAGGGCGCTCCTCCTCCTCCTCCTCCTCCTCTTTCTCCTCCTCCTCCCTCCTCCTCCTGCTCCTCCTCCTCCTCCTCCCTCTCCTCCTGCTCCTCCCCTGCTCCTCCCCCTCCTCCTCCTTCTCCTGCTCCTCCTCCTCCTCCACCCCCTCCTCCTCCTGCTCCCCCTCCTCCTGCTCCTCCTCCTCCCCCTCCTCGTCCTCCTCCTCCTCTCTCCTCCTCCTCTTCCCCTCCTCTTTCCTTCCTCCTCCTCCTCCTCCTCCTCCTCCCTCCTCCTCCTCCTCCCCCTCCCCCATCCTCTCCTCCTCCTCCTCCCCCTCCTCCTCCTCCTCCTCCTATTCCTCCTCCTCTCCTCCTCCTTCTCCGCCTTCCTCCTCCTCCTCCTCCTCCTCCTCCTCCTCCACCTCCCCCTCCTCGTTCCTCCTCTCCTCCTCCTCCTCCTCACCCTCCTCGCTCCTCCTCCTACCTCCCCTCCTCTCCTCCTCCTCCTCCTCCGCCCTCCTCTCCTCCTCCTCCTCCTCCTCCTCCTCCTCTTCACTCCCCTCCTCGTCGTCCTCCTCCTCCTCCTCCTCCTCCTCCTCTCCTTCTCCTCCTCCTCCTCCTCCCTCCCCTCCTCCTCCTCCCTCCTCCTCCTCTACCTCCTCCTCCTCCCTCTCCTCCCTCCTCCTCCTCCTCCTCTCCCCCTCCTCCGCCGCCTCCTCCTCCTCGGCCGCGAGGGCGCCCCGCCGCCGCCGCGCCCCCCCCCCGCGGCCCCGCCGGCGGGCGGCCGGCCTCGCCGCGGAGGCGCAGCCGCGGGCGCCCGCCGCGCCACCCTCTGCGGTGGTCATGGCCCCGAGGCCCCGCGGCCGCCGAGGCGCCGCAAGTCCAAGGGGCCGCCCGCCGCCGCCCGCGCTGGCCGCGGCCGCTGCGCCGCCCGGGGCGCTGCTGGCCTCTCGGGTGCGCGAGGAGCCGGCTGGCATCCTCGCGGACCGGCGGCCCGCGCGCGCTCCGCGCCTCGCGGCGCGCTGCGCGGAGGCCGCCCGGGAGGGCCGCGGCGGCCCGCGGATGGCCCCGGAGGAGGTCGGCCGCCGAGCTCCCTGGGGGGCGCCGGCGATCGAGCCGCCAGCGGCGGCGGCGGCGGTGTCGGGTCCGCCCGCGCCGGCGAGCGGCGGCGGCAGCAGCTCCAGCGGCAGCTGCGGGGCCTGGGCCAGCGCCGCAGACGCCGAGGACGGATGGCCCACGGACGCCGACGGACGGCGACGGACGACGACGGACGACAGACGACGGACGACGACGGACGACGACGACGACGACGATGGCGACGACGACGACGACGACGGCGACGGCGACGGCGACGGCGACGGCGACGGCGACGTGGACG